AAATTGAAAAAGGTTTTGAGTTGAAAACTCGACAAGTTTACTTTATTCACCCATTCCCTCGTTGGCTGAAACTTGGAAAATCTTTACAAACATGCTGTGTCAATATTTTTTGCTTAAGCTGACGTTTTAAGCAAGAAAAATCCATATTTTGGAAAGTGTCTTTTTTGCAAAACAAGAACTGCATGATTACGCATGCAAGACTTTGTGTACAAAACTGCGTGACTGGTAAGAATTTTTCTTTTAATCAGTGCCATAACAAAGAGTTTTGTGTTTTTTCTCGGGAAAGTTAATTTATAAAAGCAATAGAAAACATAGAAAACTTTTTTCCCGTATTGGCATAGCCTGATATAAACACTTGGGGGGTTGGGAGAATTTCTTGACAGTTATGCAAGCCCTCTACTTTGCCTCAGGTTTGCAGAACTGTCTGAAATTCTCCCAACCCCTCTCATGTTTATATCATGTTTATATCCGGCTAAACAAACACAGAAAACGTTTTCTATTGCCTAAATCTTTCAGCGGCAATATGAAAGTTGTTGCCATTTCCTTCTAGATACTGCATGCGGAATCCTTTATGACTTGACATGTCAATGATATTATTACCCCTTCTTATTACGTAAAAAAGCTGAATTTGATTAGTTATTAATTTTTATGATCTAAAGAAGGACCATTTTGACATGTAAATCCCACAGTTTGTGCTAAAGCCCTCCAGCCTGTTTACGTGTCAAGAACAGATCCAAATTCAAGAAAAAAGACAATTTCTGAAATAAAAAGACGAGCAACTTCTGGTAGAAAGTGGCCACACATAGTTATATTTCCTGAAGGTTAGTAGATTTATCTCTGGTGGGAACAAGTAGGTTCTTTCTCTTTCTTCCTGGTCCTGACCTCAGCTGATTTTCCCAACTCTTTCTATGAAAGGTCATGCGTTGTTGGGCTTTGCATTTATACCAAAAAAGGGAGTAAATAACTAAAAAACGAACCAAGATACAAATTAAAGAGAATGTTTTGTTGGAGTTTTTTACTTCTGCGGTTATGGATCAGGTTAACTTGAAACCTTCTATGGTGTCCCTGTGCAATTAGCTTTCCATAATATTATGCTATGACTCTTATCCTCGAGAGATTTGCCCTTTTCTTCTAGGAGGTGGGGCCCCATTTTTCGAGTTTGCAGAAGGCTCATCAATAAGTTATAATAATAATAATAATAATAATAATAATAATAATAATAATAATTTAATTTAATTTAGTTTACCTGGTGCTTTAATTTATTTCCTCTTGCAGGATGGCCCATTAAAGACTGTCTGTCTTTGTGCTTTTTTTAATTAACAGATCATTTTGACTTTAACTGCTGAATTTCTCAATTTGTAACTTGTGTTTGCTCTTCTCAGGAACATGTACAAATCGAAAATGTCTGATCACATTTAAGCCTGGTAAGTACAAATAACTTGAAAATTTGTTGAAATTTAAACTGCTCTGGAGAATTATTATTTTCACTGTGAGTAATGGCCTCTTATGTAGACATCCATAGGGCTTTTTTACACATTTCTCCTTTACGAATGCATAAATAAAGCCGTCGTAAAAACTTCTGATCTTTTGTTTGTTATGTGATTTAGCCTTCCATTTTTTGTCCTAAATCTCTTCCAATCAGAAATTCCCTTTTTTCTCCCGTCAACCTATTGGAATGCTTTTTCCCTGAATTTTATCATCAAGCCACGCTGAAAAATTTTTAGTATATTAAATAGATATTATTTCGTCACAAATTGCATGTGACATTTAATTTTTTTTCTTGGGTCTATTTTCTCAGGTTATGTTTTTGTCGTGTCAATAGGTGCTTTTTACAGTGGCTGTCCTGTTCAACCAGTTGCCCTAAAATATCCTAACAGGCTGGTAAGTGGAAAAGTAGTGTATAACACTGTAAGGGAGGGTTTACTTGACACCAGGGCGACTTAACACCGGCGCAAATTCACTTCAGTTACCTCTCATGGCTCAGCATATTTTTTTATATGATACCACCACAATGTCATTCCCGTGTGAGTCACACCGGCAGGAGTCCACCCCAGTTGTTGCACTGGAGTGAGAATTTCACTCCTGTATGAAATTTTACAACAGTATCATGTAAACGTGAAATGACCACTTGTTTTGGTATGAAATCAATAATAATAATAATAATAATGGAATTTATATAGCGCTTTTACATCGCTGTTCTAAGCACTTTACAATGTAAAAAAGGACATAAGAATATCATTAGTCACAAGCTAACATATAACAGTGTTGTACATATTGGGAAATGTATAGTATACACATCGTAAAAAGGAAAGAAAACAAAAACAAATATGATGAAACTAAACTACTGCCGGCTGGTAGACTGGAATGGGTTAAAAAAGCACATGGGTAATGCATAAACAGATTTTGCCACTCCCTAACATAAATATTGGTCCTCTGTTATATTTAGGTCCCACTGTATTAAGAAACAGTGATGACAATTTTGTCCCAATTTTGGCATCTTGCTTGCTAGGAAACCGATGCTCTGCAGATGAATGAAAGGAGCTTGCCATTAATTAGAACTGGATTGCCAGATCAGTCCAGTGGTAAAGAGAATTCTACTGTTAGTCAGGGCTGTTCGGCCACTGGTTAGTCAACACCTAAAATTTGTGCCCATAAGTTACAGATTTTAATTAAAATCTATCAAAAAAGGCCCATTTCATTCTTAAAATGAACAGTCCAACTGACCAATTAATTGCCCTAGCTTACACTCATTTTTCTTGAATTTGTTGTGCATGTAGGACACTGTGACATGGACATGGTCTGGGCCAAGTGCGTAAGTCATCATCTATGTTTTTGTCCTAGTTTTCAATGATCGGAATTTAACTCATTACTTAGGACAATGAGTCTAATCATTTAACCTTCCACATGTAAGTTTAACTTTAAGTACACAGACGGCATGTTGTAATGAGCAACAATTCTGAGTTCCCCCGGGCCTCTGTATCAAAACGAGGTTATACGCTCAGCCTTTGATGTGGAAATGATTTTTCATTCTCATGCAAATAAAACTCATTTTCACAAGAAAGGTTGTGCACTTGGCCTCATTTCGAAAGTGAGGGGTTTTTAAACTTGAAAGTAGCCAATTTTGAGTATATTTAATAAAATTGTGTAAAGGAAAATTATTATTCTTTTGTTTTAGAATCACCCTTCTGTGGTTGACCTTATGCCAGTTTCACAACTACATGGAAATAGAGGTATGATTTTTGCTTGTTATATCTTTTGAAATGAGAATTGCATGGCTGGTTGCAAGAGTGTTGGGTAGGTTAATGTTCCAGATGATGTTTCCTGGCTCAGTTCATATTCTCTCTTTTGTTATTGACAGATTCTGCCAGTATACAAGCCTGATACTGAGGTACATCACTGGGATATATCTTATTCATCTAGATAGGCTGCTTAGCATGCCAGTAACCCTTTAGACCAAGTTATGAAGGGGCGATTTGTTACTCAAACTTAAAAATCTGTGGAGGAAATCCTGTAAGTACAGTAACCTCTTTAGCAGACATTTTACATGGTGCTATTTATTTCTAAGGATTTTACAGAAAGAAATTTGGAACTTTTGTTAAAACTTGTTGTTTGAAAGAATTAATATTTATAACTCTTCTGTCAGATCTTATTTAACTATTGACTTTTATTATAGGAAATGCATGATGGCAAGCTATTTGCAAGAAATGTGCGAGAACAAGTTGCAAGGTGTAACATAATTGTATTGTGTTAAGTGCTTAGTTCCACCTCAAGCACCTCTAGTCTGCACTGTAAAGCACGTTGAAAGATGACATGACTATGGTCAAAAAACTTTTCTAGGACTAGAGAAGAAAAGAATCTTTCGCAGCATTCTCTTCTAGTAGCAACTTTGCCCAACAGCACTGAGATACACGCCCTCCTCTTCCTTCCCTCCCCTAACAGCAAGTGTAGTTGTCAAATTGAATCGCAACAAATTTTTGGCCAATTTTGCTCCTTTTTTTATTCTCGATGGTGACCAGAAAAAAAACGGCCCAAACAGCGTTTTAAAAAGGAGTCAGTTAAAAGCCAATATAAGTATAAAGTTGGCCTGGCAGTTTTAAAAAAGTCGTTGTTTCCTTCGTTATAGAGTTTTACGGGTTCCTGTTACAGAACACACATATGAAGACACACGTCTGATGGTTCAGGCATCCAAACAAAACTTACCTTCCACAGCTGGCCTGGTGGAGTACCAGAAGATAAGCTCCAAACTCAGGTAGGCAACACGCAACGATAGCGGTAGCAATCGACGGCATAAAAATTCAAAACATATTTCTGAAACGAAAACACGGTGTTTATTGTCAGACTCCCTATCCCCCCCTCCCAGTCCATTTGGAAGAAATTTATCTCAATAGGTTGTCTACCGGGAGCGAGATTTATCGCGAACCAGTCACGAAGCTTGCAATGCCGCAAAATCATACTCGTGGCCTGTCATAAATGTACCTTGCTTCTATTTTATTTACGCGCATTAAATGTACGTGCGTACGCTCGTAAAAATTATGGGACAGTGGAAATCTACCCTAATAGACAAATTTACACGTAGAAAAAATATTTCTTGAAGTTGTTCTGAGCATCAGGTTTTTCTTATTGTATCCCGGCCAGTATCAAACTTGAGAGTATGAAAGATCTTCTGGATAGATTTGCCGAGATAGATAGCAACAGGGATGGGCTGGTGGATTTAGAGGAGTTTGCTGAGTACCTCAACTTACCCGTCACGCGTCAGGTCAAACATCTCTTCTCCCTCTATGACAGAGTGAGTATCACACCTAAGTTTACACTGTAAACAATAACAGCAGCTTTAACCCTGAAGATAGGACCGTTTCTGCGTGTTACAGTCTTACAAAGATGGTCGGTGCATTGCTTGTTATTCTGTAAATCATGGCATTGCGCACATTTCCTTCTTATAAGTTAAAGTTCTGCGAGCGAGGAAATGCGCGCTCTTGTTGTCTTGTGTAACTGGAGGTTATTATGGTAAGCCTGCCTCTCAAATCAAATCTTCTGAAATTTGACGAAATTTCGCGCACTTGTCGTCTTAATACGCGCAGATATGCTGAGGTGAGTACGTGCAAACATTTAAATGCCATTACAGCGTCTTTGACTTCAAGTTGCCGAACAACTGGCAACCAGTGGAGTTGCTTTAATATGGGGTTGATGTAGTCAAATTTCCTTGCCCCTGTGGCAACTCCAGCCTCTAAAATAAAATCCTCTGAAATTTGACGAAACATGAAGATTTTGTGAGACGCTATTAAATGAGAACAAGAAAAGTGAACCAACCATTTTCATTGAGCTGTTTTGTGTCTTTGCTCACAAATCTCGCGCTAATTGGAACAGGCCATTTTCGAGTTACAAAACTTTTCTTGTGAAAATGAGATTTATTTACTTGAGAATATTTTTTTTTCGTATCTCTGATTAGCTTCGCAAAACAGACGGCTGGGGCGTCTCGGGAATGCATCTTATTCAGCAGTTATGCCATCCACTCTTTAATAACACTGGTACATGCCCTCACTAGTCTTATGTTTTGCTTTTTCCGCAGGATGAATCTGGTTATTTAGACTTTCGTGAATATCTTATTGGCTTAGCACTTGTGTCCCAACCCGCTAACACTGAAGATGTGATGAAAGTGGCTTTTCAGGTTGGTATCTTCCAAATATTGCAAACTTAACTGTTTTCGCGTTCGTTGAAGTAACCACCGTGTTGCACGAATTTTTTGCGTGAGTTTAATTTCGCTGATCGTCAATTTTTTTTTGCATTTTGCTGAAAGATTTTTGTGATTATGAAAGACTTGTTTGTCACTTGCTGGAAATTAATTTTCGTGATTGTCAGGAAGTCGTGCTCAAATTGTAATTACAACACTTTCGTTTCTTGATTTAATTACGTGTACTCGAAATATAAGTGAAACAACATGCACAAAGATTATTATATCTTATATAGATTATTATTATTATTATTATTATTATTATTATTATTATTATTATTATTATTATTATTATTATTATATTGTGGGCAACAAGAGGAGCCCGCAATCCTATTCTCCAGGTTGTTATTACGCATGCGTCGCATGTATGTAGCCAGCATTCGTTTGGACTTCCACTAAGAATGAATGGAATGCACACAACGCAATTTGACACGCGTCTTTGGACCTTCTATCACTCGTAATCTGCAACCTCGTCCCCAGGGCGCTTTTCCCTGGCTTTGCATCACGCGTGTTTGAATATCTGTCACGTGAAACTTACGCAAAGCACAGCGACGAAGGGTACACCCCAGCGATGAAGCAAAAGCGTAAAAAAAACGTCTGACCGCAGGTTACAGCTGAGGTTATTGATCGTTACCGCCCGCACTCTGTAACCTTAGTTATTACTAGTTGGTGAGTATGTCACTGTATACAGTGATATAATACACATACGGATTATTCACCTCTGTTCTCTCTTCACTTTCACTTCAAGGCCTTTGATATGAATGGTGATGGAAGAGTGGACGAGACAGAACTTCGCCACATTCTTCAGAGTGCTTATCCTTCCATCACAGACTTGAACGTGAACTGTTTGTTTAATCAAGTGGACGTAAACCACAGAGGATCAGTCACATTTGGTAGGTGCACGTCGACATTTTGATGTCATTAGTGCGCTAAATTAATCAGTCGTTGTTACATAATTGAATACTCTCCAAGCCGGAGACTTTGCGAATAATAAAACTTGTCGGGTTACCTTGCTCTGCGGCAACGCCCAGAAGATCATACTCAACCTACTTATGAAACGTTTCCTGGGTTCAGACCTTTCACATTTTTACTATTCCTAGGGTCTGAAAGGGTATTCGCGGGATCCATGATTTGACCAAAATACAGTGCAGGATTCGGGAAACGTTAACAGGTTACGGGATTTGATTGATACCCGGGATACGGACTTCGCCAATATATGGGCATTGGTTCAGGATTAGTGTCATTAGGAAAAAAAACTATATTCGCGATAGCGATGACAGAAGTTCGGGATGCGGGTTTCTCGTGAGAAAAGAGCGGGAATGCAAGCGGGATCAGGATCCTCCTTTCCTGACCCTATATTACGGGCTGATTGCATAAGCCGGGCTGGCCTGTTTTGCCAGGATCGCGTCAACTTTGAGATTACGTGACAACCCAGCCAACCCGGTTACCTGGAATCGCGGTCTTGTGATCGAAATGGCGTAATACCGGGGTGAATGTTAAAAGGTAGACCAATTCTGAGTTGCCTCAAGCCTCTGTTTCAAAGCGAGGCTAAGTGCGACCTCATTTTTACAAGAAAGGATTTGCACTTAGCCTTTTTATGAGAGTGAGAGTTTTTGGAACTCGGAAGTGGCCTATACAATAAATCTGTCGATCAGTCGACTTCAATTGGTTAATTGACAGAAGATTGATTGCTTCTTATTTCTTTAGAGGAGTTTCGTGACTTCGCTCTGTCTCATCCAGAATATGCTGTTCTGTTCACCGATTTCAAGGAAAACCAAACGGAACGGGCGAGTGTGAATCCGAGCGGCCAAAACCAGGAACACATCCAGTTAGAAGCTGAGGCCTGAGTTATGGAATGCTGTCATCATGGCCAGCTCTGTTTTTAACCAGGCTCGTGTTAGCTTTCGTAGCTGGCGGGATTTATCGCGCCTGCCTGCTTCATTCTTCAGGTGCTTTTGTTGAGGCTGTGAAGCCGCGAGAAGAATGGAGAAAATTGAGTCAAATTGATTCTTCGCGGCTTGCGCAGCTCTGCTACCAAAAGCATCAACCCTCTCCGATCTCGCCAGCTACGCAGGTTAGACTTGACTAGACTCATGGGAAATCCCCCGACTTGACACAATCACCAGCACCTCCTAGACGAAAATTCTCCAAAAAAAACACTGCGTTATACGTTGCTATTTAAGTAAAAAGCATAGCTTTACAAGTATAAAAAGCACGTTCTAAGCTATCCACGTACCGAATGAAGAGGATTATATACTCATCATATTTAACTCAACTAAAAGTGGACCTAAAATAGCGGTTTTAAACTCGTACTAAAAAATGGCTTATAGGCCCTTTTATTTATCGTCATGACTATGTTGTAGCTTTTGGTTGTTAAAGGTATGAGAAAAGAAACGTAAATACATGTATTCTTAACGGAAGGGTTTTTTGCAAAGGATGGTTCATTTTGAATTTGAATTTATCCGTTTGTTAAATGGCCGTAATTTATGTTTTTAATTCATACCATGGATCAATCTTTATTTAAGGCTTGGCAATGATATTTTTTAAACTTAGGTTTCAACATTTTGGTTGTCGCTTAGGGGTATAAATACGCGTTATGTCTACCCGCATGTATATAGTGCAAATGATGGTTATACGGGGGGACAGGTGCCCTCAATTAAAATTTAATTGACGACGAATTGAATTTACTCCCCCCTCAAAGGGTTTTCACGATTGAAATATGCGTTAATTTATAATATTATTAATAGCTGGTGTAATAATGCAAGCTATCTACCATTATGCACAATGATAAAAAGCAAGCTAATGCGACAGGGAAAATGTGTCGCCATAGTTTCAATAAAAAGGCATGTGAAAAATAGCCGAGATATGAAATCCATTCACTAGCACTAGTTACAGTTAACTCAGTTTTCAAGAAAAGAATTGATTTTTTTTTCCGATCATTTTATGGTATCGTCTAGTGAGTAAAATATTGATTGGAGTTTTTTTCGTGTTTCTATGTGTTAGCCCCAGAGATAACTAGAGCCCAGCTTGCCCGATTACACCACTGAACAATACACGCAGAGAATGAAATAAACTTTGGTCTCACTAAACCTCGTGAGTTTCAAGCTTTTCTTGTTTTGTCTCATCTATTATGCCTGTAAACCAATAGAAAGTTCGACTGTTCCTTAATTATACAGCTATCTTGTTCTTGAGGCCATGCCTTTGAAGTGTTTCGTTTCCCATGGCCCAACTCGTGAACAAGGAGAGAATCTCCCTAGCCTGAGATAAGGCCGACTTGTTACTGTGCCTCTAATGGTTTCACCGCGAAGGCACCAGTGGAAGCGTCGCGAAAAGTCGCTGGTTGTAATTTAAGGCTTCGACATTCCAAAAGCTTCAAAAGCACATCATCCTTTCCTTCTGTGTAGACCTCATCTCCTTTTCTTGTTAAATGTTCCTTTTTTTTTTTCCGTATGAAATATTTGGGTAATCAGTATCTTTTGTTAAGACGGGCTTCCCGTAGGAAAAGTGAACGACACATCCAGCAGTCGTCGCTTTTTTCATATGCTATTGTTTAAACAATCGCAGAATCCTTAAGCGCCTGAGATTCACTGTAATTTCTTAAAACGTTGACTTGTTATCATTATCATCATCATTATTACCTCACCCTATCCTCTTCGTGCCTCGTGGCACATAAGGCCTTCACAGAGTCCCTTTACTTTTCTCGGTTAACTGCTACGGTCTTCAATTCCTCCCACGATTGCCAGTCTGCTTCTGTTCCTTCCTTTTCAACCGATCTCCTCCAGGCCCCGGTTGTTCAAACGTTGGATAGCGCTATCCAACGTTTGAACAACCGGGGCCAGGTGGTCTTTGGTTTTCCTTTTCTTCTTTTTCCTTCTGTTGCCCAAGTCATGGCTATGTTGCAGTCGCTGTTTTGGTCCTGTTTTAGTATATGTCCAATCATCTTCTGTCTACGCTGCTTCACCTCTTTACTCATAGGCTCATGCATGTCTGCTCTTTTGTAGCATTCTTCGTAGACACTTGTTACGAAATACATCCCCTGCTCTGTCATCTCCCTTGTTCATTTTCCAGGTTTCACATCCTTACAACAGGACTGGCACTTCCAGTGTTTTATACAACCAGTTTTGTTCTTCCAAAGATGTTTTTTTAAGCGCCAGATCCTCTTTACTCTGACAAATCATTATCATTATAATTTTATTTTATTCATCTCTTTATTTTTTTGTCCAAATGATCAACCGACCCAAGAGAAGGTGATAGGAAACGAAACACCGAATAGGAACACCAAACGGAGGGGAGCTCGATGGTTAGGGGTGATTTAATCTTTAAGGTTTTATTCAATAAAGAAGAAAACGAGTGTATTATACGTGGACTGTTACAATAAGTGGAAGCTTCTTAGACAAGCCGCCGATTTGTTTTAAGATTCTCAACTGATTGACAGCGTCTCCATGACAACATTAGCTGAAACAACAAACGTGAGGGAAGATTCGCAACTGTTCAAATATGAAAGTATTACTTACGACATTTTGATAAGCCAATGTAAAGAAAAATCGAAAAGAAGAGGCGTGAATAAATTTTTCAAAGAAAATAATATAAATACAAATTGACGAAAAATACCACTCAACAACACGGGAACCATGGCTATATAACGCGTAGGCAACATAGGACGAAGTTGCCGCCCTATGCGTCTTTCATCTGGGGAGTTGTCTTAGAACTATGGCGAATTCATCCTTTTTAGTTCCACCAAACTCCACGAAAGTTAAAAGCGATGTTTTTACAGCCGCTGGGGTGCTGGTAGTAACATTAACAATCACTGTAACGGTTCTAGGCGACTGTTTGATCTTTGCTGCTTTCTTTTCTAGCGTAGGTATCCGCACAAGAGCGAACTTGTTTTTTCTCTCATTAATCACTGCGGACATTCTCCAAGCTGTTCTTGTGATGCCGTTTGAGATGGTTCGTATCATACATGACCCCGAATGGCCGCTCAGTGTGGCGGCAACAAAACTATGGAACTCTTTGTTTGTTTGCTTTGGGACGGCGTCCGCGTACAACTTAGCTGCAATCGGTCTAGAGAGGTATCTTGTCATATCCCGCCCATTCGAGCACAGTTCTGGCGTCATTTCAAAGAAGAGTCTCGTGGCAATAGCCTTCATTTGGCTTTACGCAATCTTGAGTGGCATCTTTAGCTTATTCGCCTGGAAAACTCCTCAACACGACGAGGATAAGTCTGGCTTTTCAATCTCCCTTTCCTACGCTATTCCATTACTGATTTTAGACAATCTTCTACCACTGGGTATCTGCATGATAACGTACATCCTCATCTTTCGAATCTCGCAGGATCACTCATACAGACTGGGCATCCTGTGCGGTTGGAGTCTTGATGGCCACAGAATACGCATTGCGAAGGAGAAAAAATCTATCCGAACTCTCAGTCTTCTTGTTGGCACATTCACTGTGTGTTCGCTACCGTTTTTTATTTTTCACGTAATCGACATGGCCTTCAATGAGAAACTTCCTAACCGTCTATATGCGAGTCACGTGGTTAAATGGCTGTGTTACGTCAATTCTGCCTGTAACTGGGCGTTGTATGGTTTTCTGAACCAGGACTTCAGAGACGTTTTGTTTGCTGTGTGTTCCAAGTGCCAGCTGCGCATTCTGTCAATTTATGGGCGTTTGATGAACTCCAATCGTGTCGAACCATTGTCGTAAATTATATCTAATTATAACCGCTTGGCAGTTCGATTTCGTTGTAATTTCAAACATTGACTGGAGATGACCAGCAGTTAAAACAGTATGCACAAAAAAACGTTTCCGAAATAAAGATCCGTTAGTGTCGGCATTGTTTAAGTAAAATAAAGTTGTAATTTAGTTGATAAAAATTAACTCATAGATTGATGAAGTCTGCATTCTCTTTTCGCTTGTATCCACTTTCATGACAACGTCGTGCTTGCTTTTTCACCCGGCGACGAATTCTCCCCTGGGACACTAAAAATGGATCCGCTTGGTTACTTAGCAATTATTACTGGATAAGGTTGGGATTGATTTGAAGAATTATGTAGATCGGCCGAGAAGGATTACACCCTGATATGTAACTCTTCGGATCATACGAAAGCCGAATCCATCAATAGACCCGTTTACAGCTACAGCAGCTAGTCATTCAGGTGGTGGACAAAACACTGGCCCCTAGTCCATGGACTACCCTAAAATGGACTACGCCGCTGAAGTTTGGTGATTAGGGTTAGGAAACTGAGTGAATCAAGTTTCCGGTCAGTTTTCCCAGTATGATGACCCTAAATGGAACCTGACTGGGGGTTATAATTGACGTCATTTTACCAGATATCGCATACCTTGTTCAAAGCTGGTTATAAAGTAGCCTGTGAACAGGCTTTCGTTATGGGGAAAGGGGGAAAAAAAAAATGTTAACATGCTAGTTACGAAGAATTAGCAGGGGGATTTGAGCCAATTATTAAAGAAGAAATATTTTGAATGAATAATTATTATCAACAGCTGGGACACCAATGACTAGCCTCCCCGCAGACGTCCTTTGGGGTTCGAGAAATGAATGCGTGACAAACGAATCCCAAAGGACGTCTGTGGGGAGGCTAACCAATGACGAGATAAGACGTTTTTGAGAGTGCTATTCAGAGCTAAAAAAGACCCGCACTTTTCAATGACAACAACAATATTCAACTCAAGTGATGGATAGAAAAAATGAGACAACACGTGATCTTAATTGAAGCTTAATTGAGAAAACAGCCGACATTTGGCAACGCCACCGCTGGTTCCCCTGTGAAATGAAGTCAAAGGAACGAGTGTAGAAATTCCATACTGATGACGCGTCACCACCAAGATCTGGGTTGTGCTTCTGATTGGAAGAAGCAAATTTTCAACCAATCAGAAGCACTGCCCAAATCTGAGTGGTGACGCGTCATCAGTCTAGAATTTCTGTGCTCGTTTCTCAGTAGTCATTTCGCGGGGGAACTAGTGGTGTTAGGCGTTGCGAAAATGTGGACCGTTTTCTCACGCTAATTAAATGGCTCCTGTATTCTGTTTAAATTCAAGGTAAAGTGTTTCAGCATTTATTCTCATTTGGAAAAAAGCGCCAGTCAAACCACAGCGTTCAGTGAAACTACGTGTTTTGGGTTAAGCATTACTTTATTTTGAAACAAAGCTCAAGTTTGATTATAAAAATAGTTCATTCCCATTATTTTAATTTTACAGCTAATTAATACAAAAATAAAGCAACTTTTGATTCACCTGCTTCTCGTCTTACTCAAATCATTTCTAAAATATCTATCTTAAAAATGTATGCCATACTCCACTTTCTTAAGTACACCAAAGAACTGAATATATGAAAAACAGCTACTTTTTCTGTCACTAATAACAACAGCGGGAAGCACAAAACTGTGACAACTTTTCACAAATTTGAACACTCCTGTATTCCAGAGATGACAATTCATATAGAAACGAGAAAACCATCAAGACAAGCCAGGTATTTCTTGCTTCCAGAACTTTTGAGACCCAAATAAGGCTATTAGTAAATAGAATCGACGACAAGAATGACTACGAGTTGACTGAAAGTTTTTTTCGCGTTTTCTCGAAAATAGAAACCCCGGAAACCTTTACTGCACTTTTGATTCACCAGCCAAGTTAGCACTGTTATCTAAATTAAAGGAGGTTAAGCCCCTTCCCGATCGCAAAATGATAAACTTCCAACATTTGATAACTTGTTTCCGCTCCTTCGAAATTCTCACTAAAACACAGAAAAACTCTCGCACTCGTAGAATCTAAAGGTCTCTGATACAAGTTATTGGAAAGAGTGGCCACACTTGAGTGCTTCATACCCTGAAGGACTTGAGACATCGGTCAACTCGCCACCAAGAAGTCTACTCGTCACCACAAAATAACTCTGTAATAATTGGAACTGTTTACGTGCCGAGGACTGTTACTTCTTCCTCAAGCCCAAATACAAGTTTTTCTATGGTAATTGACACCTTGCGTCAAACTCCTAATATTTAGTTTCATTTTTTGTAAATATATGCGACTTTGTAATAACTTAATACCTCTTGTTTGTATGCTCAAGAGGTGCGATTTATTTAAAATCCAACAGCCCTTCTTAGAAAAGTGGGGTAATATTATCGCATGACCCTTACCTCCTTAAATTTCATTGTAAATTTAAAGTGAAGGAATTTGGTTTTAGAGACTTGTCCTTTCGACAAGTATTAAGATATTATATTTCTTGGTGGCGAGGTGACTGGATACCCTTACCATTAGTTAGTTGTAACTGACCGGCCAGACCAGTCATAAAAAGAATTTCATTATTAGTCGAGACTGTTCAATATGCAGAGCGGTAATGGGTTTTCAAGTAGTAGAAAACTCATATATGGTAATGCCAACTCTCTCGGATACGAACCTCCCGGATTCCCGTACGGGTTACCTCATGTCCCGTACAAAATCAGAATTTGAGCTTTACTCTGCTTTTGTTTGAAATTTAGCCCATTTTCTCCCAAAATTCAAAAATGTTTTCAATCATAGCTTTAATTGGTTTCTGTGGCATTTTTGCACTTATGTCATCACTGTCAAGAGTAATTTGACATAAAAGCAAGCAAAGCAAGTCTGCACTTCATAAAAAAACTGTCATAGTTTGGGTTGTGGGCTGGCTTGCGGGGGAGGGGGGAGATTAGGGGCTGGTTGACGTCGTTTTGTGGGGGGTGTACTAAAAAAGGGTCAGCCTCCAGGTTTAAGTCCTCCAGAGATTGGCATATCTAAAAACTTTTCAAAAGAACATATTTCATTTTCAAAATGACCTGTCCAGCCAGTCAGTTCTAACTTTTGGTAGGCATCGGCCCTAAACAGTTACTGAGTCATCAAGCAGTGCTTCTCATTTGGCCTGGGCAGCTGCTTGACGATCCATGTAATAGAGTATTAAAGTGTGACGTCATAAAAATGAAATTTCTGAAATTATGGGATGTGTCAGGATATTCTGAAAGAACAATGTCCAAGAGGCCTAGTGGCCAAAAATGAGCATTTCGGGGTAAATTGTCTCTGAGATCATAGAGCAGTTATGCTTAGAAAACTCCATACAAACCCTTCTAATTTTTTTGTTGGGTCGACCCCCAAAAACATTAGAAGGGTTTGTATGGCATTTTCTAAGCATAACTGGGCTATATCTCAGCGACAATTTGCCCCGAAATGCTCATTTTTGGCAACTAGGCCTCTTGGACATTGTTCTTTCAGAATATCCTGACACATCCCATAATTTCAGAAATTTCATTTTTATGACGTCATCACTTTAGTACTCTATAGTGACATAAGACTGGGACAAAAGACTATGCTACCAAAGGTATTGTTGCTGGTGAGCTCCAAGTTTCAAGGGGCTATGTCAGGCTATTTGTTATCTTTTACTGCAGGGTTCAAAATAAAATCACAGCTTTTTTAGCTTTTAGGCTTATTTTTCTCGGCTGTCAATAATGAATCACTTTTTTGCACCTTCCGCGATTTGCGAGTATGACACGTGACCAAAATCTTTCTGAATTGAAATTTCACTTTCTTCCTTGAAAAACCTTGAAAATATAAAGTGTTTTTTAAAAGATTTCAAACATAACACATGCTTTGAACTGCCGAAATTAAATGTGCGACTACCTAACCGGGGCCACTTGGACAAAGTTGACCAATCAGAACCCCCATGAACTAAAACAGTTGATTATTCTCACGGGCTGTTTTGTAGTCTAGTAATTCTGCAGATGGCAAGGATGGGCAAGGATTAAAACTTCAAAAAATGAACCAATTTTTTCAAGGTTTAAGATACTAAGTTATGACTTCAGTACATAATTGACATACAATGGCAAAACCTTGTGACATAACCCCTTTAAAAGGATGCAGTACTTCAATGCATGGTTTGATGCCTATCATCATGATCATGCCACAAATCTCACCAAGACTGCCGGCATATTTATAGCATATTTATAGCATTCCCACTAAAACTATTCAAGTTGTTAAAAAGAGTTTTCAAGTAGTAAATAACTCAGGAAGCAAGGCATATAACTATGCTAACCATACATTATAACAACAGTAATTATCAAATTATTTACAAGACAGAATTAACTTAGATTAATTTAAACTCGTGGCCTAAAAAGACAATGTACAAGTTCAGCTGAAATGACAGTACGAGCAGTAATCCGATTTAACCAAAAAGTAACAGGTATGTTTCCGATAAACGTGTTGCTTTAAATTTTACAAAGCCAATCCAAAACATCAGTTCTGTATTTTTTAAAAAAAAAACGCCTTTTTCCAGAGCATGCCTCAAATTTTCATAACATTTGGCAGAGAGGAAAATGTAGTTGTCCCATCCGCATATTAAAAAAAATACATATTTTGGCAAATGGTGGTATTAAGTGTTAAAAAAACATAACATTCTCTCATTCTCTGATGTGGTTATCTATTCATGGTATGTGAATTCGCATCAGATTTTTTCCTTGTTTTGTCCGTAGCTACAAGGAAGAGTATAACGGAAAGCAGCAAGAAACACAATATATTACTACCATAAAACTCTATAATTTAGTTTTAAATAACCTGATTACATTTGAACAAAATCAAACGGTTTTTTCCTTGAACCTTAACAAGTATAAAAAAATAAACTTTGCTCTGAAGAAGAATACTTGTCAAATTTCAAAGGAAATTGTTGATTTGGGTGTTAAAAAAGGGGGAGAGTGTGTTGCTCCAGAAAGTACCCAAATTCCTCCTATGAAGGGTTCATTGGTTTGAACCGCCTTCTACATCACTTTGGAAATTCGATTTGGGTCTTCATTTTTAGCCTTTACGACCCCATCCCTCTTAGAATTTCCACTGACCCTCTGTGGGCTGTGTATGGTTCTTTTCTGGAGCAACAAACAACAACAACAACAACAACAACAACAACAACTTTATCAATTTCTAAAATCTCAGCTACAAATTAAACAAAAGCCACTCAGTGTTGTGACCCAATCCCAAAACAATTTTTGTCACTGCAAAAAATATAAATAGTAGGTATTTTCCTCGTTAAATTTTGTACAGAAATGACTTGATTTACACTAGTGTGTGCATGACCAACAAGAACTTTCAATCAGAATTCTTTTAAAGCAATACTACAGAAGTTTATAAATCAAATGAGTTCATCTGGCAATTCTTGGCTCTGAGACTCATTGGAAGCTTGCAATTTATTGTAAATTAAAAAATTCTACTCTTCATAAAAATATTGATCAGTTGAATGAAGAAATTTAATAGGCACTATTTTCACCACATATGAATTTTCCTAGAAGAATTTTTTCTGTTGATTTACAGTACATTTCATTTATTTTACCAAGATGATGAGGTCAATCCACAGAAAATTTAACACAAAAAGGGAACAGAAAAATTATTCAAAATCTTTTTTCGCCAGTAACTAACCAGTAAATGCAAAAATGCAGTAACTCAATGCAATATTATTTTTGTGCTTATTGGCATAAATTAATGAATACGCATAGATGTTGAAAACTTAGTTTAACGTGACCATAAAATTAGAAGTTGTAGCATCAAAAAGACTACCTAATGCTTGGTAAACAACACTACAAAACAGCCTATGCCTATTTACTAAACCTCAACATTTATTATAGAAAGCTCCTTCCCACAGTTTCCACATAGGGAACATGCACACTTATGGCCTCATTCGCTAACTGCAACATCACCAGCTACAAAATTATTAGTTGCTACAACTTACTAAGTACCTGTCTTGGTGGTAAAATAAAATGGTGGTTGACATTTGTTGCCTTCAGTTGTCGTAAATGTCCAGCCATGCTAACACAGTGCAGCAAGCTGCAAGAGATGAATTCTGTATTTCACACAGAACTGCAAAACTATGCTTGTGAATAAGGTCGATTCTCCCTTGTGCCAATGCAAGATGACAAAAGTGTACAGATTACGACACTGAGCCATCAGTGGTCACAAGCAAGGGGCATGATGCCATCGGTGAGACTGCAGCCTCAAAAATATTCCCTCGCAACAAAACAGATTTTAGTTCTACGTCTTGTCTTTCATTTTAGAAATAATTGCTCTAACACGCTTTTGAGCAGTGGCTGCTGCTGCGACAGCATTTTCGGCAGCACTGACAGCATCCACAGCCTTATCCCTTGCTGCAGCAGCTCTTGATAGTGATATCTGTGACTTCTGTTCTGCCTTCTCTGCAGCATCCTGGGCCCCCTCACAGACCACCCTTAGCCGCTGTTTAAACCTTGTCACAAGAGAAACTAATGCACCCCTCTTTCTTGAATCTGTAACTAACTCATCATTTTTCCACTCTCCTTCCAGCTTTGTCCCGTCGGGATATGAAGCAACTCCTAATCCATGCCTCATGTTTTCACTCCACTCGCCAATATAGCTAAAGCCGTCAGTGTCTTCTATAACGCCGTATCCATGCCGCTTGTCATTCTTCCACTCTCCTTTATATGTCTCAATCAGGCGATTATCTGCCCTTTCAATTTGCCCATTAGCATCAACACCATCCATCTTATAAGACTGAGCCGAGCCACTGCCCACTGTACTGTTCATTGATCTGGTTTCACTAGCAATGTCTGGATCACTTAAGGGTCTGGGTGATTGTGGGTGGGAATCAGTTTGCGAAAGGGTCCTTACATGATGTAGTTTACTGTTCTGATTGGGAAGGACCCCGTTCGCTTTAAAATTATCCACAGTGGACTGCCTAGAGATACAGCGCTTGTAATGCCTTGTGGTGCTGTTTTCTCGTTTAACCTCACCACTTCGTATACCATATCCGGAGCGCATCCCAGTTTTCCACTGCCCATAATAATAACCTGAAAGATCATATTTTATTAACAATATTACTGAATGAGGCTGAGTATCATGTGAGGATTTATGTAGATCTAGGAGGACGTTATCCAACAAGGACAAAGGCCAAGGTGGATAACAGCCTCCAAAATGTAAACAGATGTTTTTTTTTTATTCACAGATACATGAATCTTTATTAAGGTAAAAATATTCCGTAACCACCGTTTGGAGAAAAAAATACAGTCCAAAAAAAAGTTGTGCTTATTAAGTGGTTTATTCCGTTAACTGGTTCACTTCAATTCATGTTTATATAGACTTTCTCAAAGCCTTTTCCGGTTTCTGCTGGTTAGGTGGTCAGGCAGGAAAAAGTTGACCCATGACTTACATCGCTCCTCTCTAGTGACTTTGTCACTCACTTTTGCTCGCTTTGTGAGCGTCCCTGGTGCCTTCAGTGCTCTCGTAGTCAACTTACGGCAAGTCTAATGGTTATAGCAGTGCTTAGAATTCAAGCAACAAAGAACCAGTAACTTAGCTTTACATCTGGTAAAAGAAAAATAGCTATGTCCCATATTTGCTTTATTTGCAGTACAGAACATTATTTTAGTTGAATATTCACATCTTTTTAATATACAACTGCTGAGGAATAAGTGTGATGTTTGTTATGAATGTGAAACAGTTTTCTGGCAGTCCATTTTCCTGTAAGGTTGGTTTGAACAGTGGAAGTCTACTTCCACCTCAAGTTTTGATTTAGAAGGTAGCATAAAGGTATAAATGATACCTAAACTTATTAGACATTATTAATAAAAACCCAAACAGCAGGATACTGGCTGGTTAGTGACCGCAGTTGGCAAAGCAAAACAAATGAAAGAAGCCTGTACACAGCCTTCAGAAAACTTGCTTGTGTTTTAGTGTCCTTTACTGGCTTTAACCTTTACAACAGTTAACACTACTTTTATTTTTTTACGATGGAAAATGAAATAGAAAGTTTTTTACAGAAAAAAGGGGAAAATAATATTGCGAAGTTGAGTGGAATTTATGTGGTCTCAACAAATTACCAAAAATTTCAAAAATATACTATTCATATTCTTGGGAAAATAACACTCGTTTTTGATCTAGTTAATTATTAAAGAGATGAAAACTGACTTATCCCTTAGTTTAATCTGGAAGTGTAAGATTGTCCCATTTTTCCTTAAGTCAGGATGTATAATGAGTGGCATTTGACGTCAAACTACTATAATGCACAGTGTTTTTTTTTGTAAGAATGCAGCTGATACTGAGAACTAGCAGCACCTTCAGGTTAAGAACTCACTCACATTTACTCTGTCAAGGGTTTGAGCTAAGCTTTGCAGCTATTATTTTTTTACTATGTTTAGCACACTTAAAAGTTACTGAAAGCACTTATGTAGGTTTAAATAACCACAAAAACTATTTAACACTTCAGTGACATTTAATTTTGATCATTCACACCACAAATAGCTGCCTTTGAATCTAACAAAGTGCTCTTCAAGAGTTAAATCTATTCTTCTTTCTCGGTGGGAGATAATAAGCCTGCAGTGTGCAAAATTAGAAAAGCACCCAACTCAAACAAAACCTGAATAAATTTATTGTTTCTATGTCAACCTGAAAGTACAAACAAAACTAACAAATAGCAAGCTTGTCCTGCAGTGTTATCTGTTTAATTGAAATGCCTAAGACCTGTGGTAGTGACCAATAATGCTACTGCTTAAGATAACAGAAATGTTTGGTAAGCTGAATGTAATTTTCCTTTCAATTAAGTGTTACCAGATCTGATCAATAATACTTATGGAGTATACATATTCTTTTCAGTCACGATATAGTCCTTGAGGAGGCTAATGACAATTTGTTACTGTCAATGCAGAGGCACAGGCAAAATTTTGATGAAGCATTGATTCTGTTTCGGTAATTTACAAGCTCAGCAATCTCAATTAAACAGCAATTATTGTTCTGGCGTCTAGAGATGAGTTTCTCTTATTATAAACCCAGGAAGGTAGATTAAATCAATTTCTGGTACTGTCTGTCTACTGTCGACCTCGAGGGCACATGAATGGCATAATTGAGTCTAATCGAATGACAAAGCTGGACTGAAAAAGATCAATGAAGATACAAGAAATTGGCTGAAATGTTAATGTTAAAAAAATTACAGTCCTGAAATCACTGTCAAACTTATTTGCATTTCCACGAGAAATTCAAGACAGACCAGACTGCCAAATTGAAACATTTTTCAAGCGACTCATGCCTGCCCTGGCTGCATGATCACTGACAAATTTTACTTTTAAGTCCTGTGATATCAGCGTACATCAGATGGGAGAACTTTGGTGAAAATTATGATGCCCAGTTATTTTAGTAAATTTGTTTTCTAGAATCTACTAAGGCTATAATACCAAAGGTAAACAGACGAAGCCCGGAATGTCCCAGAACGATCGTTTGGAACGGGCAGTTATTAAGTTAAAATTATCCATGCAATCGCTCTAAAGTGACCCACTGACAAGACAATCTGTAGTGATATCTCCAGCAGAGACGCGCCTTAACATTCCCGCAAAGAAAAAGTTTCGTGTTTTTTCTAGAACTTCGCATATTTCACCTGATTGCTGCTAAATCATCCAACACGCCAATGTAGCTTCTAACTTTACTTGCTAGCAACACCAACAATCGTTTAGCGTGATGACAGATCATCATTGCACGCAAAGAGTGCGAAGTGGCGATAAATTCGCGAGCATGTTGACTGTTTACCTTTCTATACGCAGTAGTGCTTTGCTCCAAATGCCACATAGTTCTAAAACCTTTCATCGCCGCTGTCCGTTCGAAATTTTTATCACTCCCTTTCAAACAGACACAATTGCAAAAACCGTATCCAGGAATCTAGGCTATTTCCAAACTTCAGCGAAACAGACAAGATAAATTTGTAAAGAAAACAGTCGCCTATTGCGGATATTTGGAATTCTCCTAAACAACTGAAGCATACAAAGTCTACAAGTAAATGAAAGTAGCGGAGTTGTGTTTAGATGTCGGTTTCATTATTTATCACTCGTGGAACGTTCCTGAGAATTGAAGGGATGCCAACTTTGTGTGCAGTATTCCATTTGCGACGCATTTGCGCCGCCGGACAGCGCACTGATTCAACCCTGTCAGCTGTCGAGCTACGATAGGTCTTGATATTTTGTCTTCAATATAAAACACTCATTTTTATTTATAGAAATAATAAGTTATACCGCTTGAATTTGAATGATTCTCTGGACTTTTTTCTATTTTAATAAGTTTATTTTGCCTTGATCATACAACGGGAAAGTTCTGATTCAATGCGAGATCGCCAAGATTGTCAAGGCCTCATTGTCAATACGCTTATAATAACCTGACCGAATGTACGAATTGGTATGGCACGACGTAAAAACAGCCTCAGCGACGTCCCGAAATTCGCAAAATAGCTTCATTAGAAAGGACAATTCTCGCGCAGAATTGTACCCGAGTGCTGTCAAATTAGAGAGTGAGAAAATTGTCATTTTATGTCCCTCTGTGCGCGCATTAGCCATTATTCAAAATCCGGAAAAACAGCGAAAAACGTTTAAATCCGTTTAGTTGGGCATAATTGGAATATAAATTAAACGAATTACGCGAATTTAGTAAAATATAGTGCTTAAGGCAATGGCAAAAACCAAGACATGACGTAAAAGTACAGTGGTGTACCTTGTCTAAGCGACACAAATGATCAATTGAGTTAAGCTTATTCTTCCGAAATGGGCCGTCATTGTTTCGGGAAACAAATTTATCTGTTGTCATTTATACGAGCAAACGCTTCTCTCTGTATACTTTGCTTCTCTCTTCTCAAGCAAAACCCACCTTTATCGGCATAAATCTCGATGCCATAACCTTCTTGCAGACCAGAAGTCCAGCTTCCTTCATACCGGGCTCCACTTTGCGATTTCTGTATTCCGTAACGTGCTTTAAATCCTTCTTCCCACTCTCCCTGATACACCCATTTTCCCCGAAACTCAACGCCAAGTCCGTGCCTACGGCCACCAAGCCAATCTCCCTCAAACCGATGGCCATTTGGCCAAACATACACTCCACTAAGTTCGAATCCGTTGTTCCACGAGCCTTCGTAGCGCGCTTGTCCTTTCGGCCCGGTGCAGATCCCGTAGCCGTGTGCTTTGCTGTTTTTCCATTCGCCGCAATAAGTTCCACCATCTTCAAAGTCAAAGCGACCACCGCTCATAATCATCCGCGGCAAGCATAGCTCGCTTGCAAGGTAATTCTTTTTCACAGTTTAGCGAGTCAGTTAGCACACTTTCTTGCTCTCTCGTCGCTCACTTGTATACAAATTTGACTGACATTCACTTTTCGTATAATCGATTACCCGCTCTCAGCATTTTATTAAAAACGCATGCTCTGAACACAATAGCCGCTGTTCCCTGAACTGTGAATATTGATAGAAACAGCTGATTTTAATTAGCTGTTCTCAAACAGTACACTTGATGTTTCAATTTGGCTCTGATGCTTGTAAAAGCAAGCAAATTCAAGTTTAAAACATGGGTTCAGTCATCTCCCCCGAGAGCTTGGCTCGCAGGCTATATTCAGTTATGTTCTTGATGGCGATATATTGACCATGTGGGATTCTCAGTGGGCAACTCACTTTTTGATTCTCGAGTTTGTATGTAACAAAACTTTTTTTCGAGAAAATAAGATAAAGCTAGCAGTTTTAAAAGCCCGGTGACATTTACAAATTCTTATATTTTTAATATTGATAATGCTGTTTAAATATGCCTAAACGACTTCTATTGTATTCCATTTGACCCTGGCATAAAGCGGAATGTAAAGCATTTTTTTTCTCAGATACTTCATCTTCATTTGATTGATTACTGGTTTATCACTTTTTTTTTTTTCGTTTCCTGACATGAATTCCCGCTGCGTTTACAATTAAACAAGAGTTAGTCTGTTAAAATAGACGAATCTAAAAGATTTTTAATTGACTGTTAAGGTCTGTTTATGTTTTATCACGGGAGTAATTGGCTCCTGGTCTGATATTTGTACTCTTGACCCATACATACAGCCAGTCGACTCTCTCTTAAGGACATTCTTATAAAAAGGGGATTACACCTCCCTAAAACCACAATCTACTGAGAGTTTGACAGTTGTAGCCTTTTCCGCCTTTTTCTTCAGGGACCCCAGAGGGGGTGGGTTGTGAGGGGGGGCATGAGACGGGGGTGGGCTTTAGGCCACACACTTTTTGAGAGGGACAAAAAATGCTTTGCCCGTTTTGATTTCGATCTTATTTCAAACCTCCATCGCTCAATAGTTTCATTCCTTACAAAAACAGGTTCAATGACATACAATTCTAACAGTCTTGAGAACCTCATACATCTTTATTCTATAGTTTGGGGTAACAGTCAGGGGCACCCAACGTCAATTTTCGGAAAATATCTGTTCGGAGGGCGATTTGAGATCTAGCTTTCTGGAACATTTGTAGTAAAATTTCTTGCTTGCCTGCCTCTCCTAGGATTTCGAACATCTAAAAAATGGTATTATTGCCCATTTTAAACCGATTTTACCCTAAAAAGGTCACCTAAAACTTTCGGGAGCCTTTTTTCTGGCTGAAATTTTGGAAAAGGTAAGTTTTGATCCCTATCATTCCCAGATCACTAGACTTTCAGCTAGGAAATCCGAACAGATGAAAACTGATTTTTAGCGGATAAAAATATGCCTATATCTACCGTTTAAATACTAAAATAGGCTTAACAATGCTATTTTTAAGTTGTTTTGAACTATATTCTCGTTGGCCGGTGCCCCTGAACAGTTTCCACAGATTACCGTTTTTCCCCATCTCTTAATGAGCCCTAACAGGAACAAGGGTAAACAAATTCTAAATCCGCTAAGCTAACACAACTTGTTCTGATTATCTTGGCCGGCCAAACACAGTTTGATTTGATGATGTATGTACGCCCTATCTAAATAAGTGTAGAACATCGATAATCAAAAATATGTCTCTTTTTTTAATTACGATTTTTATTTAAGATGTTAAAGAATCGATGTACAGTGCCATGCAGTTAAAATTTAGTTCCGGCAGAAATAAAATAAAAGCATAAAGAGCCCAAACAATTAAAGATAACAAAGGTGTTCAGTGATTATCTCTGGTAACTGGTCTCAAGATCCCTTTTAAGATTATGGCTGTTGCTCGTACTTGAATGAACTGTGGTTCTTTTTCAGCGTTTTCGCTGGACGTAAAGTGGTACTGTAGCAAGGGATGTAGCAAGGCACTTTTACGAAACTTACAAACTCAAGAGCCCTTTGTTTGTCTTCAACTGGACAGCCAGACATTCCCTCTGGATTTCAGCAAACTTTTTGAAATTATTCCTATGCATTCAATCATCAGATATAAGTAATCAACAACAGTCTAACAANTAAGTTGTTTTGAACTATATTCTCGTTGGCCGGTGCCCCTGAACAGTTTCCACAGATTACCGTTTTTCCCCATCTCTTAATGAGCCCTAACAGGAACAAGGGTAAACAAATTCTAAATCCGCTAAGCTAACACAACTTGTTCTGATTATCTTGGCCGGCCAAACACAGTTTGATTTGATGATGTATGTACGCCCTATCTAAATAAGTGTGGAACATCGATAATCAAAAATATGTTCTCTTTTTTTAATTACCATTTTTATTTAAGATGTTAAAGAATCGATGTACAGTGCCATGCAGTTAAAATTTAGTTCCGGCAGAAATAAAATAAAAGCATAAAGAGCCCAAACAATTAAAGATAACAAAGGTGTTCAGTGATTATCTCTGGTAACTGGTCTCAAGATCCCTTTTAAGATTATGGCTGTTGCTCGTACTTGAATGAACTGTGGTTCTTTTTCAGCGTTTTCGCTGGACGTAAAGTGGTACTGTAGCAAGGGATGTAGCAAGGCACTTTTACGAAACTTACAAACTCAAGAGCCCTTTGTTTGTCTTCAACTGGACAGCCAGACATTCCCTCTGGATTTCAGCAAACTTTTTGAAATTATTCCTATGCATTCAATCATCAGATATAAGTAATCAACAACAGTCTAACAACATATTACCCGTTAATTAATGAAACGTGCGTTCAGCCGACCGATGAAGAGTTCGTGGCGTTTTCATTAGAAAGTGTCCTTTGAGTTTCCAGAAGTATCCGTGCAGTAAAATCAGATATAAGTAATCAACAACAAATTACCCGTTAATTAATTAATGAAACGTGTGTTCAGCCAACCGATGCAGAGTTCGTGGCGTTTTCATGAGAAAATGTCCTTTGAGTTTCCAGAAGTATCCGTGAAGTTAAATCATTTGCACTATCAGTTATCTGTTGATTAGAAGTTGGAGGTTTTTTCTTTCCGTCTCTTGAATAAGTACATAATTTACTTTTCTCCATGTATGTTCTTCTCAAGACGTCTTTCAAGGAAGCACTGGAGTACTCACCTACCCCACCCTCTCCCACTTTTTCCGAAACAATGAGGTCTAACAAAAAAGGGGGTTTCTTCTCAGCCTCCCCACTTCAAGTAAGTAGCCAGCCTTCCCCCTTTACCAATTGGAAAAAAAGGTCCGTCGTCCCTTTGTGGATCCCTGTATGCTACTGAGTGCACGTATTTTAAACGCTTTTCGGGTGTAGCGTTTCTCCTGAGTGAAACCAAAATTCTAAAACTAAGTCCATCGAGCAAAATAATTATGGTCTCCTTGAAGAATGGTACAGTTCTACGCTCACCCAACTTGGGTGGATATATAAGCAGTTTCAGTGCTATATAAGGTTAAATTAAAACGTGACACTCTGCGTCATTTGATAACACATTCATTTTCAAAAGATGAAGCCTTATTTAAGGTTGTGAACATCAGCTAGTATTCTGGCATATTCTAATTTTTCTGTTCTATAAACACGATTTTCATGTGCTAATAACATTCTTCCAGAATAGTAAATCGGCATTCTGTGAACTTTCTGACAGTATTTTCATCTTAATACTTACTTAAAATTATATTTAGACTCTAGTTTTTGCTGCTGCTCAGAGCCACTCAGCTCAGTTTCAGCTTTATCAATCACTCAAGAAAACTGATCTCTTTTCAATGTCGAATAGTCAGGCTGTTACAATGGTTGGAAACCCAATAGTTCGTAATGAAGAGGCAAATCAGTTTAAGCGCCCGTCAGTGTTGGTTGTACAATGCGGAATTCGAAATTTCTTCATTCTGCGGGTTTGAATACCTCGTTGATTCTTAACGTTGATTCTATATTTAGATACAATCTGCATGCGCGTGCGCTTATTCGCCAACTGGGAAAGAGTCCGTAATTGTGACGCGCATCTTTAGATTCACTTTTCCTAATAACGTTTTAAGGAAATCTTAAGAAGGAAAATCTTGCCATTATACCATAATTGGAACTAATTATTCAGAAGAACAGCTTAAAACCTTTGATTTGGAATGAGTAATCGCTTACTGATTCGACCAAGTGTTCAAAAAAAGCACTCAAAAGTCAACTCCGGCTTCCTCCCAGCTGATTTGGCTGCCGCATACGCTTCCTACCATGAGAATATGGCGGAGCAGAAGAAGCTGGAACTCAAGCTTTGGGGCATCGATATGGAGACCAAGCAAATGAAGCGTGACATTCGACAGCGCAAAGAGGTTCTCGAAAGAGAACTAAAAGAAAGGGAAGATGATTTTTGGGGCTGCCATCGAGTGTTCTCTGCTGCTACGTTGATTACTGAATCTGACTCTTTTAGAAAATGCTTCTACACTGGACCTCAACCAACTAAGGCCAAGCTACCACGCGGAAAGCTCGATAGGCTGAGTCATTTAGTGCGAAAGCTTCAAGCTGAAGACGACTTGGAAACTCTGTTAAGATTTCAGCGCTGTGCACGATACGCTACAAGGAGAGAGGACCGTCCAAAATCGGCTTTGAGTCTGACTTTTGATGAGGAAAGCGACATAACTGAAGCGGATTCTACGTCGCAATGTCTTACAGAGGTCATAAATGCACCACGCATGGGCAGTATTGGAAGCATTAGTGGTGACACTTCAGGTCGAGTGAAAAGAATCCGGTCGGCGCCATTAAGGATCGCGTCTGAGAAGGAGGAGTTGAGACCTCGGAACCGCAGCCGGGGACGCAGTGTTTTTCCTCAGCATCCCTTGAAAAAAGCCCATGGTGAAACTTTCTGTTATTCTAAAGAAGGTAGCCCTGAGATTGTTTTGCACTCTTATGATCGACAAAGATCTCCCATAAAAATGGCCTGGACTGAAGATGCACCCAGAGCAGAGAATAAAGTTATTGGGAGTAATGAAATTCAAGCGAACAGTGGCGTGGATTCATCAAACAAAGATTCTTTGGACCTCACTGAAGAGAAAACGCAATGGCGCAGAGAAAGTAGAGTCAATCAGTCACCGGAGATAGAAAGATTGGCCTCGTTTTCACCTGAGCAACAATCGCACGAAACCAGCGTGACGGATCTATCTAACCTTTCCCGCTCTCAGCATCTGCTTCCAGAATCGAGCTCAGAACATCTGCAATCAGTCGGAAACACCACATCTACAGGGCAAGAGAAAACTATCGACTCAGAACTGCTCTCAGAGGATGGTCTAAAAGCTAACGGTACGATGGGGGGAGAAGTAAGGCAAAGTATAGCTGAGGATCGGTATCAGCAAAAAGATTTGGTTCATAGATCTAAGCATGACGATGTTCGCGTCTCTTCAATTAAGGAAATAGAGCCTTCAGAATCTGATTTGCCAAGTGCACTTCAAAACGAGGAAGCTACTAACGTTTCTGATGAGGATCAAAGACTTAATAAGAGAGACACACTCCAGCTGGAATCAAGTGAGCAGTACACCTTTAGAATACGAGCTGAGCCACGATACAGTGAAACATCAGAAACAGAAAAGTTTGACGCACATACACGAGGCGAAAAAATTGCAAGAGACGACTTCCACGTGACCGTTGAGAGAAGAGGGACGCATAATATAAAGAAAGCCAAAGCACAGCACAGACAAGGTGGTACTACGTTACCAAAAAGCAGCTTGCATGGCTTGTCAAGCCGACGAAAATCATTGGTTCCAAGGAATCACCATAAGAACTCGCAGCAACACACTTCTGGGTTTTCAACAGTAAAGAACACGCGAGGAGGTAAACCAGAATTGGGGGTTGCACCCGGTACAGAGAGTCCATCTCATAAAGTCGCGCACAGCGAAGAAGAAAAAATGCGCCAAGGGGAAAGACAATCGAGTGAAACAAAAAAGCGAAAGATTTCAATTTTTAAGCGAAAGTGTTTATCCGATTTGTTGTTCGTCGAACAGGTGAAACTAGAAAGTCGCCTTCGGAATCGGGTCCAGGGATTTTTATCAGACAAGACAAGTTAGAAGGATGTATAAACCGTGATCATTTGAGAAAAAAACGGAATTGCGTCTTTCGGTTTTAATCTAGATTTTCATGTAGAATAGAGTTATCAGTATTTTATTATTATCAGAGTACTTTTTAAGTTCCATGCAGAAATTCAACGTTTCTGCTGAACAGTCGTCTGAAAGAAGTTGCATATTTTGAAGGACGAAGGATTTTGGAGAGAGAAACTAAGATGATGGACAAAATACTTAACTCTGAAGTTTCTGAGATGGATGTCGGTACATCTTTTATTTTGCAGTATTTTGGGCCAAAAACTCACTCAGTCCCACGTGCACTCCATTTTCTCCCACCCCTCTCACTCCCATACTTTTGAGAATACCCTGCCCCCTACTGGGCCTACTTAATATCTTACTCGTAAAACTGCTCGCGCAGTCCCTCAACCGTGTTCTATTATGCTGGGCCCACATTCCCACTGTCCCGTAGTCGACGAACACCCCCTCCCGGGCCCCTCCCGGGCACCTCCCCTGGATCCGCCACTGCAAAAGTGCTCCGGCTGTTCCGCACTCCCGCAATCGCTGAAAAGTGAATATTGAGAGGATATACAACTAGTCCTCCCCCAGTCTCGCACTCCCGCGGTCGATGTCAAGTAACTAGTGTGCTTATAGAACGAGGTATACTACTGCTCTCGCACTCTCGCAGTCGAAGTGAGAATTTATTATGCAAATGAGTGACTGGGGGAATGCGGGAGGACTGGGTATTCTGCAATCCCAGCCAATGATTGTTTGAACCTGTTCCTGTGAGTAGCTGATCATCGGAAAAAGAGTTTGGGAGAAATGAAAAGAAAAAAAAACTTTTACAAAAAGGATAACAAAAATAATAATAACCTGGGTACCAGACGGGGAGGGATTCGCACACTGCATGCACACATCTGGAATTTTTTTTTGGCCAGCAAATGCAAGGAACAATTTATGCGCGCGCAGAAATTGGATCCATGGCAACAAATCCCGCTCAAACTAAGAAAATGGCGGATCAATGTTTTTGTGCAAAATGACAGCGTAGAAATTGCGTGTATCATTCAAAGGGAAGTTGCTTTACTTCAGTGAAGCCTTGATAAAGGAACGTTAAGCTATATACTTAGCTGGAAATACATCGTAATGCCTCAGGGAAAGCTTCGTGGTGGAGGACTCCGTGGAGAAGTTCAGTCAACTGTGCGCGAGAGTTATGGAGGCAAAGCGGTGTCTTCTAACTTTAAAAGCCGTGTTGTTCATCCGAGAAATCCAAAACTTGTTAAAGGAAGTGCTGAAGATGACAAGGTGAATGCTAAGTTATATTTCATATGGACTTGATTCCGGATAGGACGCTAGATTGTATAAATGTAACCACTTAAACATTAAATAATATCAAAACAGCTGAGTGCCAGCTGAGAGTCAGATCAGACCATGTAAATACATAGAATTTAAGATTTAAAGTAGGCTCTCTCAACGCAAATTACGTGGAGTTTTTCCGGGCTAATCTGTCTGTTTCCTGGTAATAATAACAAGGCATTTATTGTTAGTACAAGAATGATATTAATGCTAAAAACTTTGACAAAAATCTACAGCAAGCACCATCTGCTTACATGGCTGAAATGCAGTTGACCACCGATGAAAGGCTGAAGCTGACTTATGAGATGAGGGTGCCCCAGATTATTGAATTACTGGACATGTCAGAACAGACGCTTCAGAAGGTTAGCCAAAAATAATTAAATCTACAAAATGTAATAAATACATGCTCGGGTGTTATTTTGGGAAACTGAATGACTAGGTACAAGAAGTCAAGGTTAGAGTAACTCGTGCCAGTAATTTCTCTGCTTAGCTCTGGTTTAGATGCTTAAATAATTAAGCTAGATCATATTCATCCAACTTAAGTTTATGTGAAGAATGGTGTCTGAATCAGCTTGAAATGGCTAATTGAACTTGGGTCAGCTCAGCTGTGTTCTTCATGATTGTCTTTGCTATAGGAATGATGGCTGTGGACTGCCATTGATTCAGATGCAGAGCGTCACTTGAGCCAAATCAAATGCATAAAATTTATATAAATGTGTTTTCAATGCATTCTGTTTTTCTCCTTTGGATTAAGTTTGGGTTTATTAATAACAATAAATTAGCATCAGAACCAAATAAGCCAACCAAAACTCTTTTACTGTTGGCCTTAATTTGACTTTGATTGGGATCTTGTGAAGTATGCTATCTGAACTGGGCCTTTGCTGTTTTTAGTGATGGAGTTTTATGTTGTTGTGTTATTAAATTCTAAGATATAGTGGGGACACCATCGCTGCTTATACCAATATTGCTATGGGCCTGAAACCCATGAAAGGGATATATTATATTATTTTATAATGTGATCATCTTAACTGAGACAGGTTCTTACTCACAGGGTTATATGTATAACTATTTTCTAATAACCTTGGTTGGTGGTGTGAACTGGTTTTGAACCAGTATGTTAAACTTTGTACCTGTTTGGCTGACCAGAGCTTCACCTAAATAATGTAATTATCATTTAGACAGCATATCTAGAGTAATTGGATTTAAGATATTGCACAATGCATCAGTTTTGATTCTCTTGCTGAAAAGCTTTTCATTGTTTTGTTGTAGTATACCACCATGGACATAGAAGAACCTATATTTCAGCCATTTCCATCTGATATTGTGTTCCAAAATTTTGAACCATATCAGACCTATGAGGTTCCTCTACAGCTACGCAATAATGATAAAGTAAGTACTACATTTTAACCAATTTTTATAAGCTATTGAGTGAAAAATTGTACTTAGCATGGTCTTTGATATAAAAAATCCTAGTTATAATTTAAAGACAAAGTGTTTTTTTAATCTTTATTTTACTAGGTTGCTCGTCTGGTGAAGGTAACTCAAACAGACTCTCCTTACTTCACAATCATCAGTCCACATGACGTGGGACATAAAGTGGCTCCTGGAATGGATAAAACCTTTGTCATCAGATTCAACCCTGATGAGAAAAAGGTATGCACAAGCTTTGCTTGCTGCCCAACAGAAAAATTCCCTGTTAACTATTGTTAATTTCATTTAAATCATCATTTTTTTGGAGAGTAGAATCCTTGGAAATTTATAATGTTGCAACAAGGTCATGTCATGTCCATGGCAACACATGACCAGTGACAGAGCTACTAGGCAGGGTTCATGGGGTTCCAACTGCTTATGCACTACCTTCTCATGTCCCTAACCCAGATGTTTTTTTTTTTTACCTTCACTAAAAACTTTGTATCTTAACATTTGCCCTATGCCTGTTTATGTCTGTTTTTGCTCTTCCAGGACTACACCCACGAGCTTATTTGCATCACTGAAAGAGAAAAGTTTCTTGTGCCAGTGAGAGCTATTGGGGCCAGAGCAATCCTTGATTTTCCTGATGAGGTCAACTTTGGAACTTGTCCTGTCAAGGTAAAAGGGATGAATTTGAAATGTAAACCAGTTATGCATTATACATCTATTTAGTTTGCTCATTCTGTTGCCCTTGTAGGTGTTTGATCTTATCATGCCTGAATAAAAACTATGCAAGCTATGATCATATTACAAGGAGAAATGGGCTAATAATCACTATTAGGGGCTTAGGGGGTTAAAATCTTCTGACACAGCTACACAAACTAGTAGTCTTGGACAAGTAGATTTTCTTGCTGAGTAAGTAACTCTTAAAGCTCACGTGCCCAATGGGCAAGGGTCAGAACAAGTCATCCTCTAAAGAAATCATTAACTAAGAGGAGCAAGAAGTGCCCCCAAGCAAGCAAAACATGAGAGCTGCTTGCCCAAAGGACAAGCTGGAATTCAAGCTTTTTTTTTCGACCCCTATATTACTGACAGATTTGAAGCCCATGTGGTTGTTAAGCTCAGTTTTTCCATAGATGCCTCCATACAGGTGTACTTTTGGCACCTCTCAGGCATGGACAAATCTTTTGGTGCCAAAGATGCAAAACTTCACGATGATATCTAGATCTACCTCGATAATACAGACACCTACAGACACCTCTGTTATGCGGACACCTGGCTCTGTTCCTTTCATGTCTCTGTTAAGAAGGTTGACTGTAGTATTATTATGGCTCCATTAAAGTGTAATCTTAATTCATGATTTGATTGTCTTTTGCACCTAGTATGCAACAACGAGGACTCTCTTTGTACGAAATGTTGGAAACAGTGATGCAAAGTTCCAGCTTGTTGTCCATGAGCCATTCTTTGTTACACCAGACAGCGGTCGATTGGCTGTTGGAGAAAGCATGCAGATTCATGTGGATTTCAAGGCTCTTCAAACTGGAGATCATGCCAGTCACATGATACTTCACTATGAAACTGGTGAGTGAATATTGTTTTGTACTAAGATGGCCATGGAGGAATGGTAGACATAAAAGGGAGCTTTAGCATGGATGACCGTGACGGCAGCAAAAACATCTTTTTAATAAAAATGAATTTGCATTTTTTTAAACTTTGTCTTGTTTATTCCTATTCACTAAAAATGTCAAGTTAATTGCTGAATTTTCCTGGGGTTGATTACCTGGGACCGCTCTCATGTTTAAAAATAGAAAGAAAAATGTTATCGTTGCAAAAAAATTTCGTTGTTACATTTTCACGTGGTAGTGATGCAGGGATGGCAAAGAAATGTACAAGAAAGCGTAATGCATGTGCAGAGCTGTTGCTTTGCTCAACAAACCTATTGCCTTTTTGATGCCTTGTTGACATCGCTGTTACCTTTGCTAAAGCACCTTCTTAATAGTTCAAGATCTGTTGGTGTGGGTTCCAGCTACCTTTGCATTCTTTTTTTGCAAGTAGACAAGAACTTTGCTCTTCTTTGTCTTACTTCACTGTGGTGTATAAATTATTTCTGGTACTTTTGACTAGCTTTTTGGCTGGTTTCTTCAAAGCTAGGTTAAGATAACCCAGGGTTAGTGCAAAATTTAAATTCAGATAAGAAAGTTTAACAAGCAAACTCAGTTTAATTCTTTTGTCTACAATTTATTTTTTATGTTTGGATGCTGTAGAAAGAATACAGAATTAGCATTAGGATTAGAATTTAACCCTGGATTAGCACTAATCGGTCTTTGAACAACTGGGCCCTGGTATATACATGTAACTGTGTAATGACTTGCATTTTCATATTAATTTAATTTATAGACATTTGTTTTGATTAATGTATTACAGGGGAAGATATCTTTATAAGTCTCTATGGAGCTGCTATTGACTACAATGTCAGACTGGATAAAAATACAGTCAAGATGGAAAACACTTTTATATCTTGTGCTTCTCAAAGGTACGTTAATTTCCTCTCAAGTTATGTCTTTTTTATCTAACTCCCCTTGCTATCTTTCTCACTTTAATCAAAGCTACAGTCCAACTGTCATAGCTCTTTATTCATGTGTAGTGTAAGTGTAAACATAGTCAGTGGTGCTGTTTTATTGGTAGTTTCTCAAGCTATGGATGGGTGCAATTGAACCAAATGACGTACGACAAAAGGTTGAAAAGACACTGAACAATTCCTACTCCACAAAACAAAAGTGAACCAACATTAAATAGTTTCTGCAACACCAAGAAACACCTGTTTCATCCTTGCTTCAAATGTATCTCCCTTTGTTTTATCTTCATTATGAAATCAATAAATTCATAAAAAATGGGGGGGGGGGGGATATAAAGAAATTAATGTAATTAAAATAAATTATGTTGATATTTAAATTACAGGACAGTCGCTATTTCTAACAGAAGTGACATTATTGTACAGTTCAAATGGAGCAACTTTGCAACACTAAGGGAAGAGCTTCAGCAAAAAGACAGGCAAGACTAGTACTTTAATATTTTTTATTCTGCAATCTTATTCCTTATTTTGAATTTTATTATTCCTGTGAAGATGAAATAATCAGCATGTCACGAGTGTGGGACAAAGAAAAAAGTCTGAGTCCCTGACAGGATTCGAACCTATGACTTCCCAAACGCTGGGCAGGTGCTCTATCCACTGAGGTACGGAGAACTCATGGAGAGCAATAATGCTGGAAAAATTTTTTGGTTCATCTGTTTTATATAGTCGACAAGAATGAGAGTCATGGTCATTTACTCTGCGTAGAATGTACATACATAATTATAGCTGGTTACTTCAATGTCGTGTGTTGAATTTCAAGTGAAGGTTATCCACAGATTGTATTGTTGAAGTTTGCAGAAGAGAGGAATTATACAAACCCCCACTTCTTCCCTCCTCCATGGTTTTGAACAAAATGCAATGACCTTGCTATGATGCAGATTTGTGCATTGATACTTCTGTGTTAGTGTTTAACTCAGTTGTTGTCAGTTTTTTCTCATCAATAGTCAAATTCCATAATAATTGCATTGAATAATTGCATATCTTTTGGGATGTGTTTTAAAGGTTTTACATGGACCTGGAAAGTGAAGAAACTGCCGAGAGAGATGAGTTTTTTGAAGAATGCCTGAATGATCCAACCCTCAGAGATCAGATGTCGATACTGACAAGAAAATTCAGGAACAAGTCTCAGGTAATGATAAAGAAAGAAAAACAAACAAGTGAATAAATGCATACCATGTAATTTACCAGAGTGTTTTTGTTATAATGAAGTATTTTATTATAAGCTTTTCATATTTCATTTGATTTGGGCTCTAGCACTTTAGATAAAAATTTATTTCATTTTGAGTCACCTGTCTATGGCAGGGATATTTTGCAAAACCCCAAATGGTGGCTGAAAGTAAAATGACTCTTAAATTTAGTGATTAGGCCTAGCAAACTGAGTGAATCAAGTTCCAGTTAAGGACATGATACAGGGTGAACTGAATCGGAACATTGATTCTCTCAGTTCTCTAAACCTAATCACTAATCCTCAGAGGGGTGTTTAGCAACATTTGCTTTATGCAGAATACATGAATCTCCGATCTGTTGCGCTCCCCAACATTTGTCATCCTCACTCATTTATTCATCTGAGTGAAGAGAGCCCATTTGTCCATTAAAACAATTTATAATGCTCATTGTGCTTTCCTTGTTGCAGGTTGTCGCTGATGACAAAATGCTTTATGGTGACTCCATTATCAGCATTGATCCAGTGGTAAGCTTGTTATACATTTACGTCACACATGACACTTTTATTGTGGCCTGTTGTGTTAACACACACACATCAATTTTGTTTCAAGTGATGATCCTTTGTTACATGGCTATTGTAGAGGTTAACTTCAGATTGTCTACTTACAGTCTGTGTGGTGATGCCTCAGAATAAAAGTCAAAGAAAATAGTATCATTGTTTGCACCACAAAATACAACTGCGATGCAGGCAAAATAAACTGTTAAGTAGTAACAAACTGCAGTTATGTAATTGTTAATAAATGTGGAAATTTGTTGATAAAGAGGAATGTCATGACGAGCTTTGAAGCGCGAAAAATTTTTATGCAAATTAGCTGGCTGCACATTCAATGTGCAGCCACCTAATTTGCATAAGTAATTCAAAACCAAGGTATGACAGCTTTAGGCTCTTGAGGTGTCGGCTTAAGGTTTTACATGGACCTGGAAAGTAAAGAAACTGCTGAAAGAGATGAGTTTTTTGAAGAATGCCTGAATGATCCAACCCTCAGAGATCAGATGTCGATACTGACAAGAAAATTCAGGAACAAGTCTCAGGTAATGATAAAGAAAGAAAAACAAACAAGTGATCAAATGCATACCATGTAATTTACCAGAGTGTTTCTGTTATAATGAAGTATTTTATTATAAGCTTTTCATATTTCACTTTATTTGGGCTCTAGCAGTTTAGATAAAAATTATCTCGTTTTGAGTCACCTTTTCTATGGCAGGGCAATTTTGCAAAACCCCAAATGGCTGCTGAAAGCCAAATGACTCTTAAATTTAGTGATTAGGGCTAGCAAACTGAGTGAATCGAGTTCCAGTTATGTACATTATACAGGGTGAACTGAATCGGAACATTGATTCTCTCAGTTCTCTGAACCTATTCACTAATCCTCAGAGGCATGTTTAGCAACATTTGCTTCATACAGAATACAATGTATGTGAATTTCCGATCTGTTGCCCTCCCTAACATTTTTTCACCTTCACTCATTTATTCACCTGAGTGAAGAGAGACCATTTGTTCATATTAAAATAATTTATAATGATCATTGTGCTTTCCTTGTTACAGGTTGTGGCTGATGACAAAATGCTTTATGGTGACTCCATTATCAGCATTGATCCAGTGGTAAGCTTGTTATACATTTAAGTCACACATGACACTCTTATTGTGGCCTGTTGTGTCAACACACACACACGTCAATTTTGTTTCAAGTGATAATCTGTTGTAACATGGCTATTGTAGAGGTTAACTTCAGATTGTCTACTGTCTTACAGTCTGTGTGGTGATGCCTCAGAATAAAAGTCAAAGAAAATAGTATCATCGTTTGCACCGCAAAATACACCTGCAATGCAGGCAAAATAAACTGTTAAGTAGTAACAAACTGCAGTTATGTAATTGTTAATAAATATGGAAATTTGTTGATAAGGAGGAATGTTACTAACTACACAATCTTGCTTTGTTTTGTTTCAGGAAGGTGAAATCTGGCCAAATTCTCAAGCTGAAATCAATATTATCTTCAAACCACAAAATGCCCAGAGGTATTATTCCCTTACAGTAAAATGACTTGAACGTTTTCCCACAGACATGAACTTACCCAACAGGCTGGGAGAGCAAAGAAGATGGTAAAATTTTGTGTGTCAAGCATGACAGTAATAATTTTGTTTGAGAAAAAATTGCCTCAAACTTCATCTTCCTTTAAACAGATCAGAAAACATTTATTTCATTAAGATTATGACAGAACGTGCAAGTAATAGCCCTGTCACACACAAGCGTTCTGCTGTCCTTTTCTTTCTGCAGTCCTGTTGCGTAAACTCACTATTAATGTTTGTTGACACTGAAAAAGAAAAAATGAGTTTCTGACCGGTAATTAAAAAGCTTGATAGTGGTTATTACTGACAGCAGTAATACACCTGTCCATGTAGAAAATGAGCATAAAAGCCCCCACCCCCCACTCAGCTAGATGTTCTCAGGGCATTTGGCACATGTTCCTCCCTATATCTGCTACAAACACACCACAATCACTTGGATAAGAAATTATTTTGTTTCCTTTTGACTAAGTGTCTGTTTTCATGGCTATTGTGATCTACCTGCCTCTAGTTTGTAAATTTTTTCCTGAATCTTAACGGTTTTTTTGTTTTGCCCTTCAGTTATGCACGGACTACATACTGTGATGTAACAGGCCGAGAGTCAAGGTTGCCATTGAGGATAAGAGGAGATGGTGTGGGTCCCAGAGTGCATTTCTCTTTGGATACATTGGACATTGGAAATGTGTTCATAAACTCACAGCATTCTTATGAGGTGAATATTGATATTATTGTACTGTTATTATGAGAATAACTTTATACAAGACAGGCTGGCTCTGTTAAGTTTAACCTTGGTATTTGATAAGCTGTGCCAATGTGGCATTTGCTTCACAAGCAAGGAAAGTCCCACCATAGGTACAAGGCTGAAAGACCATCTCTTGCATGATAGAAAAGTTGGTAATGAAATATGTGCATCTTTAGCTTGTCTGTAAATAAAATCTACAACAACCATAAAATTAATAATATTATTATATGATAAACCATTGTAATGCTTCTTGGACTTTGCGTAGATTTTCATTTATACACAACATATGGTTATAACAAACTCTCCACATATTTTGTATTTGGTTTATAGCGATCTTCTTAATGGATGTTGTAATTTTTTGCAGGTCATTTTGTGCAACAAGGGAGACATAGATGCTGTGTTTAGGCTTGTTCTACCTAATACCCAATTTGGACCCCAGTTTTCCTTCTATCCATCTCAAGGCATTGTTATCCCTGGGGGCTATCAGGCCATTCAGGTAAAACATTTACTTTAAAGTTTGGTCCTCCATAGTCATTGTAATGCAGAAAAATGAACCCTTTTTTGTTTTTACCACAAGTGCTTCAGTTCCTCAGATCGTATTGATTGGACCTATTGTTGCCATTTGAAACCTAATTATTAGGTTTCAAACTGAAGTTTTTTAGTTACTTTGAACATTTGCTTACTGTTAACAGCAAACAGTAACAGGTAGATGTAAAATTTGCAAATCTTTTCATTGTTTAGGTGTGTTTCTGTTCTCCTATACTTGGTGATTTCAATGAAGTTTTTCAGTTTGAGGTAGAAGGATCACCAGAACAACTTGAGTTAAAAATCCTGTAAGTATGTTTACTAGCTTCAAATTTCCACAATACTTTTTCAGACTGTAAATTCTCCCTTATTTTTGTACAAATTTGTCTTGGCATGGCCTGAGGACGTTTCAATAACAGTGGGGATACAGTGTGAAAATTATGCTAAACGGGTTTTATCTTTAGTGATAGTTTTGCTCAACACACTACTCCTTTCTAATGACTTAATCTTGGTTTTAGAAGAAATTGTTATTGATCACAGTCTGCACATTGAAAAATAAAAATGGCTAACCCTTCAGCTTTTACTCTTTGTGGGGGCATGAAATTTATTGATGTAGCTCTAACTTGCAATTCTGTGGTGGTCATTGAAATAACACCTCCACTATGTTCGACAAATAAATTACCCTGGCTAAATGTATTATTTATTGTCCTTGCCTAAATCATGCTTTGTTGATTTCTCTACTAGGGGATCAGTGATAGGTCCCACATTCCACTTTAACATACCAAAGCTTAAGTTTGGTGTAGTTTCTTATGGTGAGTCTTAATCATTAATGGTGTTATGGGCTTCAATTTTTTGTAATTGCATAAGTAATTTTAATTATCCAAACTGGGTATTATATCATTATCATACTTTTATAATAATTATGTTAGCTTGAATATAATTAAAAAATTATCCTCATAGTTATGTTGTATTAAAAAAAAGTACAACTTTTTAAACCTGGGGAACTGGAAAAATAAAATATTAAATGTATTGCTGTTTCAAAGATTCTGGATCCTTAGACTGTTTGTTGGAATAAAATTTTAGTTTTTTTTTATGACCACTTTATGTGATGGTACAGTGGCCAGTAAAAATAGTCTAATAAATGAACACATGTTGATCAATGATTTGTACTATAGCATGGAAAGATAATATGTTGATCTCAAGGCAATGATAGAGCAGTTCCCAGTACTGCTAATTTCAAGAAAGCAGGATTGATTTGACTGAGATTCCTTGTTAAAGCAGTCCTTGCCATATTTCACTGTCTGACTTGTATTATTTTGCATTGTGTACGGACAGGTTTTGTTAACACTCGTCACTGTACTTTGGTTAACACTTCTCTCATTCCCATGACATTCAACTTGCGTGTCCCAGCTGACGGCATTTCCAGTGATGATTCACATAGCCGTGACAGCCTGATTGACAGCAATATAAGTGACGTTGGTAGCACCATCATGCCATCTCCAAAAGAGTTTGACATAACACCATCATCTGGGATTATTTCTCCTCAAGGAACAATGGATATCAAGGTATCCAGATAATATATGCTTATAATACACTAATAGTAATTGTGTTGTAATATCCTTTTGTGACAAGGTGTTGAAAAATAGTAAGCAACATGGTGGCGATAAATGAGCACTTAGACTACTTAAAATGTGCCTTTCAATTTGCTAAAAGTTCTTTAACTATGATTGTTTACAATCCTCATTTTTTGCATTTCAGGTGGACTTTGTGTCAACTACTGTCAAGAAATATGAAATTGCTTTGGTGGTTGATGTGGATGGAGTCGGAGAAGAGATTCTTTCACTACCGATAATAGCCAAGTTAGTCCACTTGTCACTTTTAAAACAATCCTTGAAGTTTAGCTCAGTCCAATGGTTAAGGCCTTTTTACACATAACTGTAAAACTTGTCAACATATGATATGACTTGTGTCTGTCTTTTCCAGATGTGTTGTTCCACCAATTACTGTATCCACACCCATTCTGGATTATGGTCGTTGCTTTCTCCATCACCCTTATGAACTACCTGTCCATCTGCTCAATGATTCAGATCTGCCAGCCAAATATGAGTTGCTTTCACAGGTATTGCATGTAGAAATAATTTAATATATAGATTTAGCCAGGGCTAAATGCGAAGCTCTGGTTAATAATACGTGTAAACAAAAAAAAAATTAAATCGTGTAACGCTAAACGGGGGACGACAATAAAACTAATAGATCTAATTAGCAAAAAAACAAATTCTAACTACACAATCTTGCTTTGTTTTGTTTCAGGAAGGTGAAATCTGGCCAAATTCTCAAGCTGAAATCAATATTATCTTCAAACCACAAAATGCCCAGAGGTATTATTCCCTTACAGTAAAATGACTTGAACGTTTTCCCACAGACATGAACTTACCCAACAGGCTGGGAGAGCAAAGAAGATGGTAAAATTTTGTGTGTCAAGCATGACAGTAATAATTTTGTTTGAGAAAAAATTGCCTCAAACTTCATCTTCCTTTAAACAGATCAGAAAACATTTATTTCATTAAGATTATGACAGAACGTGCAAGTAATAGCCCTGTCACACACAAGCGTTCTGCTGTCCTTGTCTTTCTGCAGTCCTGTTGCGTAAACTCACTATTAATGTTTGTTGACACTAAAAAAGAAAAAATGAGTTTCTGACCGGTAATTAAAAAGCTTGATAGTGGTTATTACTGACAGCAGTAATACACCTGTCCATGTAGAAAATGAGCATAAAAGCCCCCACCCCCCACTCAGCTAGATGTTCTCAGGGCATTTGGCACATGTTCCTCCCTATATCTGCTACAAACACACCACAATCACTTGGATAAGAAATTATTTTGTTTCCTTTTGACTAAGTGTCTGTTTTCATGGCTATTGTGATCTACCTGCCTCTAGTTTGTAAATTTTTTCCTGAATCTTAACGGTTTTTTTGTTTTGCCCTTCAGTTATGCACGGACTACATACTGTGATGTAACAGGCCGAGAGTCAAGGTTGCCATTGAGGATAAGAGGAGATGGTGTGGGTCCCAGAGTGCATTTCTCTTTGGATACATTGGACATTGGAAATGTGTTCATAAACTCACAGCATTCTTATGAGGTGAATATTGATATTATTGTACTGTTATTATGAGAATAACTTTATACAAGACAGGCTGGCTCTGTTAAGTTTAACCTTGGTATTTGATAAGCTGTGCCAATGTGGCATTTGCTTCACAAGCAAGGAAAGTCCCACCATAGGTACAAGGCTGAAAGACCATCTCTTGCATGATAGAAAAGTTGGTAATGAAATATGTGCATCTTTAGCTTGTCTGTAAATAAAATCTACAACAACCATAAAATTAATAATATTATTATATGATAAACCATTGTAATGCTTCTTGGACTTTGCGTAGATTTTCATTTATACACAACATATGGTTATAACAAACTCTCCACATATTTTGTATTTGGTTTATAGCGATCTTCTTAATGGATGTTGTAATTTTTTGCAGGTCATTTTGTGCAACAAGGGAGACATAGATGCTGTGTTTAGGCTTGTTCTACCTAATACCCAATTTGGACCCCAGTTTTCCTTCTATCCATCTCAAGGCATTGTTATCCCTGGGGGCTATCAGGCCATTCAGGTAAAACATTTACTTTAAAGTTTGGTCCTCCATAGTCATTGTAATGCAGAAAAATGAACCCTTTTTTGTTTTTACCACAAGTGCTTCAGTTCCTCAGATCGTATTGATTGGACCTATTGTTGCCATTTGAAACCTAATTATTAGGTTTCAAACTGAAGTTTTTTAGTTACTTTGAACATTTGCTTACTGTTAACAGCAAACAGTAACAGGTAGATGTAAAATTTGCAAATCTTTTCATTGTTTAGGTGTGTTTCTGTTCTCCTATACTTGGTGATTTCAATGAAGTTTTTCAGTTTGAGGTAGAAGGATCACCAGAACAACTTGAGTTAAAAATCCTGTAAGTATGTTTACTAGCTTCAAATTTCCACAATACTTTTTCAGACTGTAAATTCTCCCTTATTTTTGTACAAATTTGTCTTGGCATGGCCTGAGGACGTTTCAATAACAGTGGGGATACAGTGTGAAAATTATGCTAAACGGGTTTTATCTTTAGTGATAGTTTTGCTCAACACACTACTCCTTTCTAATGACTTAATCTTGGTTTTAGAAGAAATTGTTATTGATCACAGTCTGCACATTGAAAAATAAAAATGGCTAACCCTTCAGCTTTTACTCTTTGTGGGGGCATGAAATTTATTGATGTAGCTCTAACTTGCAATTCTGTGGTGGTCATTGAAATAACACCTCCACTATGTTCGACAAATAAATTACCCTGGCTAAATGTATTATTTATTGTCCTTGCCTAAATCATGCTTTGTTGATTTCTCTACTAGGGGATCAGTGATAGGTCCCACATTCCACTTTAACATACCAAAGCTTAAGTTTGGTGTAGTTTCTTATGGTGAGTCTTAATCATTAATGGTGTTATGGGCTTCAATTTTTTGTAATTGCATAAGTAATTTTAATTATCCAAACTGGGTATTATATCATTATCATACTTTTATAATAATTATGTTAGCTTGAATATAATTAAAAAATTATCCTCATAGTTATGTTGTATTAAAAAAAAGTACAACTTTTTAAACCTGGGGAACTGGAAAAATAAAATATTAAATGTATTGCTGTTTCAAAGATTCTGGATCCTTAGACTGTTTGTTGGAATAAAATTTTAGTTTTTTTTTATGACCACTTTATGTGATGGTACAGTGGCCAGTAAAAATAGTCTAATAAATGAACACATGTTGATCAATGATTTGTACTATAGCATGGAAAGATAATATGTTGATCTCAAGGCAATGATAGAGTAGTTCCCAGTACTGCTAATTTCAAGAAAGCAGGATTGATTTGACTGAGATTCCTTGTTAAAGCAGTCCTTGCCATATTTCACTGTCTGACTTGTATTATTTTGCATTGTGTACGGACAGGTTTTGTTAACACTCGTCACTGTACTTTGGTTAACACTTCTCTCATTCCCATGACATTCAACTTGCGTGTCCCAGCTGACGGCATTTCCAGTGATGATTCACATAGCCGTGACAGCCTGATTGACAGCAATATAAGTGACGTTGGTAGCACCATCATGCCATCTCCAAAAGAGTTTGACATAACACCATCATCTGGGATTATTTCTCCTCAAGGAACAATGGATATCAAGGTATCCAGATAATATATGCTTATAATACACTAATAGTAATTGTGTTGTAATATCCTTTTGTGACAAGGTGTTGAAAAATAGTAAGCAACATGGTGGCGATAAATGAGCACTTAGACTACTTAAAATGTGCCTTTCAATTTGCTAAAAGTTCTTTAACTATGATTGTTTACAATCCTCATTTTTTGCATTTCAGGTGGATTTTGTGTCAACTACTGTCAAGAAATATGAAATTGCTTTGGTGGTTGATGTAGATGGAGTCGGAGAAGAGATTCTTTCACTACCGATAATAGCCAAGTTAGTCCACTTGTCACTTTTAAAACAATCCTTGAAGTTTAGCTCAGTTCAATGGTTAAGGCCTTTTTACACATAACTGTAAAACTTGTCAACATATGATATGACTTGTGTCTGTCTTTTCCAGATGTGTTGTTCCACCAATTACTGTATCCACACCCATTCTGGATTATGGTCGTTGCTTTCTCCATCACCCTTATGAACTACCTGTCCATCTGCTCAATGATTCAGATCTGCCAGCCAAATATGAGTTGCTTTCACAGGTATTGCATGT